TACCTGATCGGTGCACCAGTACCACAAAGCCAGGATGGTTAAGCCGAAGACGAGACCGGGCCAAGGGAGGTCCCCCGTGATGGGGTCCCGGAAAATCTGGAAGGCGTCCTGACGGGGCCGGTAGCAATTCTCGGGGATGGTCTCGTTGATGACGCTCGGGATCGCCGCCATGTATTTCTTCATGAAGGCGTCGTATCCTCCCACTTCTCGGAAGGCTGCCAGAAGGGAGGGACCCCCCCCTCAGAACAAGGCTCGGAGGAAACCCAGGAGCCCACACCCACCCACCCACAGAGAGTTGCACAAATGCCAGTCACCCCGGCCAGCCTCTTCATGGAAAAAACCATTCCCCCCTTTTTCCGAAGGCATTCCGTTTCCCCCATCCTCACCCTGATGCTCAGTTCTGTTTATATGGGCCACGTTTGCATCTGGATCAGGGGAATCATGATACTCGGAGGTGGGAAGGCAGAGGGGGCCTGATCCTTTCACGTCCGCACAGGAGGAAGAGAGCGGAACGGTAACTGGGTGTGAGGGGAGGTTGTGACGAGAGAGACACCAGGAGGGAGAGAGGGAGAGGATTCGCTTCTCTCACACATACTGGGATTCTGTTGCTTTTGAAAGCCACGGTCACTGAGAATTAATTCATGGGAGTGGGGGGGGCCTTCATGTTCTGTCTCAACAGACTACAAAAATAAGTAAGTGTCCCTTCATATACATTCTCCTCCTGGTCCACCTGTGGTTCAATCTTTGTAGCCTATGGGGTTTTTTTATCCTTGTTCCCATAAGGTTCATGTTTGCTATGGTCTTGGAATTCGGCATTTTTCTTTTCTGGTTTTTTTTGGGGTGGTGGTGGTGGTTAATTATTATTTTCTATTATGGTTACGTTCTGCTGTTTTTACCACCCAGAATAGCAGCTTCACTGTGAGTGGGTCAGGATAAAAACGCAAATAAATAAACATGAAATGTCGTGTGTGGTTTTGATGAAAAAGCCTCAGCATCCGCGAGGTCTTCCAGTGGGAAAATGTTGATCAACGAGAGCACCCACCCCCCATTTCTCTGGCAGACAAGGTCCGGGAGGAGGGCTGCTCGACGGGAAGCCCCCCCCTTGGCCTGCCTCCAGCTCTGATCACCTCCCACCACCCGCGGCTTCGCCATCACCGATCCCCAGGACGGAGGCACCTCGGAGCTGCGCGGGTGGAGGACCTGTTGTGGGTTTTTTGCTAAAGTGCTCTCTAGTATGAGGCGCCCTGCCACGCCAGCCCCATAGTTCAGTGGGGGGGGGGGAAGACCTGCATGCAAGGAGACCCTTGGCCGGCTCTCTCCCAGGTACCGGAGAGGGCTCTTGGGGGGGGGCCCTTCTCTGCCCCAGAGACCAAGAGGAAGCAGAAAGAGGCAAACGGCTGGCTGAGGTGGGGCCACTTCCCAGGCAGCCAAAAGGAGATGCCTCCCTTCGAATTCATCTCTGGGTCATGAAAAAGGTGCCCAAGGCCAGGAGGGAGATGAGCTCCAGCCGCCTTTGGGGCCATCGGCTTACCGAATGTGGTCAGAATGATGGATCCCACCAGCATGATGATTGTCTGCAGCGTGTCCGTGTAGATGACCGCAGCAAGTCCACCTGGGGGGGGCGGCAAAGGAAGCAGAATGGAGGCATGAGAGCACCACTCAGGCTCTTTGTAGGCTGTGGTGGGAAGGGATCCGCCCCACCCCCCTTGGCTTCCCCACCGCCTGGGTCTGCCAGCCACGCCAGAAGGGCGCCCCGGCGCTCCTGGGCTGCCCACGGGCCCTCGGAGGACACGATCCCCTGGAGGGATGCCTTCGCAAGTGAGGAAAGGGAGTGGGCAGGAAAGGGCTGGAGCCCAGAAGCAGGCGTGTGCGCGCCCAGACCCTGTGAAGAACGGAGGGGACCCCGGGGCTTTGATCTCAGGGAGAGGGGGTGCCAAAAGAGAGGACTTACCTGTGATGGTGTAAAGGGCTGTGATGGCCAGCAGGATGATGATGGCTGCATAAATATCCAGCCCTGTGGAGAGCTTGATAAAGATGGCGCCAGAAAAGATGTCTGCCTGAAACAGGAGAAGGACAGGTGAGCTTGGCCATCCTTCTGGGGGAAACCGGTGGCCGTCCTGGACCCGGCGGGACCCCCAGCCGGGGACCCCCACGGGCCCCCGCTCAGTCCCGGTCTGCCTTGGGCATGGGGTCCCCCGAAGGCGGCAGGGATGAGCGTGGAGGAAACCCAGGCCCGGCTCCTTGAGAAGCCCCCATCAGCCGTGCCGGCTGGCCGGGGGTGAGGAGTGGGAATTGGGGTCTCTGGGCAGCACCGCTGGGGGGAAAAATCACTTTTCCCAGCTCCGCTTCAATCAAGGTCTTCGTGTGGCCACAGGTGATCTTCCCTCTGGCAACGCCTGACGCAAACAATTAAAATGGTCCCACAAAAAGCGGGGAGGGTTGTTAATTAATTAATGAGATTCCTGGGCCAAAGTCCCCTCCCCAAGGTCACCTCCCCGGCAGTCCCGCTCAGCGGGTGAAGGGCCACCTGATCAGTCCAGGGAGAGCCGCTTATTCTGCGCCTTAGCCTGATCACCCCTCCCAAGGCGCTCAGCTCCCAAACGGGGTCCAGGCAAAGCCCCATCCCCAGGACTTTGGGGGATGCCCTCTTCTCAACCCCCCGTCCAAGGCTGCTGTTTCGCTCTCCTTCCTGCTGGGGCTAAGCGAAGAGGTACCCAGAGCCACACGCCCTTGACCGCCGTACCGTAAGGGAGGCCCGTCCCGTGGCCCCAAGCGGCCGACGAAACCACCCAGTCCTTGGTGGCTTGCGAGACCCACTGTGGCTTTTAACAGTGCAGGCAGGCCAAAAAGGGGGGGGGCAGGATCCAAAGTTCAAGGGCTGCCCCTGGACCCCCCCCCAGCAGCGACAGCCCTCGGATCTGGCCTGAGGCTCATGCTTCCCGGCCAGGCGGGGGCTTCTCTCGCGCCATCGGGCTGGGAGAGAACCAGGAGGGGCCTGGCGGTTTAATGAGTAACCCCAAAAGCGATCAGTGACTGCCAGCCTGATGAAGACGGAGGAGGGCAAAAGGCCAGGCCTTTTAGGTTAATTTGTGCAATTAACTCTCAGCTGTTGCGGCTCCCAGGGCAAAGAGTAGCCTTCCCGGCCAGGCGGGGGCTTCTCTCGCGCCATCGGGCTGGGAGAGAACCAGGAGGGGCCTGGCGGTTTAATGAGTAACCCCAAAAGCGATCAGTGACTGCCAGCCTGATGAAGACGGAGGAGGGCAAAAGGCCAGGCCTTTTAGGTTAATTTGTGCAATTAACTCTCAGCTGTTGCGGCTCCCAGGGCAAAGAGTAGCCTTCCATGGCAACCCC